GAAATTCATCAGATTGCTTTAGGTTAACAGGTGGCTTGAAGGCACGTACACACAAGGGAAAACTACAAGCGGATCCCTTACTAGGGGAGGGGATGTGGTTGGGAAGTGTTTGGGGCTATTTCTGACCTTTTGTATCTGGTCAGCCCAGGACAGCGGTTGTCAACTGGTGGCTTCAGGGTGGGATCTGACCTTTTCCTAATTTGCAAAACCCGAGGAGGAGGAGGAGGAGAGAGGGAGAGAGAGAGAGATGAAAGTGTGGCGGTTCTGAGCCACTTGAAGGATGGAGTAGAGGGCCTTTGTTCCTCTATACCAGGCCTGGGCAACCTTGGGCCCTCCAGGTGGTTTGGACTTCAACTTCCACAATTCCTAACAGCCTCAGGCCCCTTCTCCCCCCCCCCCAATTTGCTGCTATTTTCCCCAACCTCCATCTGTTGTCCACATTTGGGTATACTGAGTATTCATGCCAAATTTGATCCAGATCCTTCATTGTTTGGATCCACAGTGTTCTCTGGATGTAGGTGAACAACAACTCCAAAACTCAAGGTCAATGTCCATGAAATCTTATCTGTTGGTCATGTGTGGGAAGTTTGGCCCAATTCAATCTTTGGTGGGGTTCAGAGTGCTCTTTGATTGCAGGTGAACTATAAATCCCAGCACCTACAACTCCCAAATGTCAAGGTCCATTTTCCACAAACCCCACCAGTGTTCACATTTGGACATACTGAGTATTCGTGCCAAGTTTGGTCCAGATCCATCATTGTTTGAGTCCACAGTGCTCTCTGGATGTAGGTGAACTACAACTCCAAAACTCAAGGTCAATGCCCACCAAACCCTTCCAGTATTTTCTGTTGGTCATGGGAGTTCTGTGTGCCAAGTTTGATTCAATTCCATCATTGGTGGAGTTCAGAATGCTCTTTGATTGCAGGTGAACTATAAATCCCAGCAACTACAACTCCCAAATGACAAAATCAACCCCCCCCCCACCAGTATTCAAATTTGGGCGTTTCGGGTATTTGTGCCAAATTTGGTCCAGTGAATGAAAATACATCCTGCATATCAGATATTTACATTAAGATTCATAACAGTAGCAAAATTGCAGTTATGAAGTAGCAACGAAAATAATGTTATGGTTGGGGGTCAGCACAACATGAGGAGCTGTATTAAAGGGTCATGGCATTAGGGAGGTTGAGAACCACTGCCTTAAACAAACACACACAGAGAGACACGTGGACGCATGCTCTCTCCTACCACCGCTGTCAGCTGCAGTGGCCTTTCATCCCTTAATCTGCCTCCTAATAGGTCTAAAGCAAAGAAGGGGGTTAACTGGACACCATCTGGCTCACGCCTGCAAGGGACTCAACAGGCACGGGCCGAATGGCCCACGATCCCTCCCTCGGTGCCAAAGGGCTGCAAGGCAACCCAGGAGACCCAGCCATGGGTCCTTCTTGCCTCTCAAGGAGAACCCCAGCTCCCTCCCTTTGAAATCTGCCTTCTCGAAAAGCCAAGAAGGGAAGGACGGATAGCAGATGGGCACACAACCAGCGCTGGGCCATCACTCCTCCTCTGCTGCAGTTGGCTAATCCTCCCATTTCCTTCTGTCCCCATCCCCTAAGCTGCCCCTCGACGATCCCACCCCCCTCCCTGTTTTACTTGCCCCCCGTGGTGCATTTAGAGCCTAAACCCCCTCTAAGCCTCTTTGGTGTCCCAAACGGATGAGCCAAGGAGTTCAGACAAAAAAACAAAGTGCTCAGGAGACAGAAGAACAGGACTCGGAGAAGGGCCTGGAGGTACCACTAGAATGGGAGTGCCACTTATGGGGCCACGATTCCCGTAAGCGCAATATCTGCATCTGCTGATCTTTGTATCCAACACCCAACTCCCACTTCCCAATATGTACCAGTTACATAGAATCATAGAGTAGGAAGAGACCTCGTGAACCATCCAGTCCAACCCCACTTTGCCAAGAAGCAGGAAAATTGCAATCCAAGCATCCCCGACAGATGGCCTCCAAGCCTCTCTTTCAAAGTTTCCAAAGAAGGAGCCTCCATTACACTCAGGGCAAGAGAGTTCCACTTTTGAACATCTCTCACAGTTGACTGCCCATCCCCTTTTATTTGGAAGTCTAACTTTACTTCAAAATGCTCCACTGAACGTTGGAGTAGTGTTTCTCAACCTTCCTAATGCCACAACCCCTTAATACAGTTCCTCATGTTGTGGTGAACCCCAACCATAACATTATTTTTGTTGCTACTTCCTAACTGTCATTTTGCTACTGTTATGAATCGTCATATCAATATCTGATATGCAGGATGTATTTTCATTCGCTGGACCAAATTTGGCACAAATACCAAATAAACCCAAATTTGAATACTTGTGAGTTTTGGGGGGCGCGCGTTATTTTGTCATTTGGGCATTCTAGTTGCTGGGATTTAAGGTTCACCTAAAATCAAAGAGCATTCTGAACTCCACCAACGATGGAATTGAACTAAACGTGGCACACAGAACTTCCATGACCAAGAGAAAATAAGCATGAGAAAATAAGCATCAGAGTGGAAGGTGCAGCCTAAGCACCAACTCTCCTCGGCAGCAGCTACACCTCGCTGCCCCCTCCCTCCAACAGCCATCGAGGAGGTGAAAAAGAGGCCAGGAGACTTCAGCTCCTCCAGAGTGGAAGGTGCAGCCTACACACCAAACTCTCCTCGGCAGCAGCTACACCTCGCTGCCCCCTCCTTCCAACAACCAGCAAGGAGGAGGTGAAAAGGAGGCCAGGAGACTTCAGCTCCTCCAGAATAGAAGGTGCAGCCTAAACACCAACTCTCCTCGGCAACAGCTATACCTCAGTGCCCCCTCCCTCCAACAGCCATCAAGGAGGAGGTGAAAAGGAGGCCAGGAGACTTCAGCTCCTCCAGAGTGGAAGGTGCAGCCTACATATCAACTCTCCTCAGCAGCAGCTACACCTCGCTGCTTCCTCCCTCCAACAGCCAGCAAGGAGAAGGTGAAAAGGAGGACAGGAGACTTCACTCCTCCAGAGTGGAAGGTACAGCCTACAGAGCAACTCTCCTCAGGGGCAGCTGCCCTTCGTTGCCCTTCCCTATCCTCAGTCTACTGGCAAGTGATAGCTCACACCTGACTTATGACACTACGACTGATAAAATCTATGTTCCTCTGGACTTTTACGAAACCGATCAGTAGCCTACTACCATCATCACATAAGACTCTCCCTCCACCCGCCCCAAGGACCTCATATCACATTTACCATCCCCCAAGAAGGCCCAGGATTTTTGTTTTTACCCTCCCCATTTTGTATTCAATCTGTACCTAAATAACTTTGTGTCTATTGGGATGTGGGGGGAGCAGGGAGGGTATAAAAAGAAGGGCTGAAACGCTATGGAGAGAGAGTTGGGGAGTGGGGGGGGGGGAGAGAAGAGAAGGGGTCTACATTGTTAATTGAAGCAATAATATGTTTCATGCTTATGTCTATGTTTCATGCTTTTATAGTTTTAACAATTTTTATCTATAGTTATATGTTACTGATTTAGATATGTGATATATATATATATATATATATATATATATATATATATATATATATATGTGTGTGAGGCATTGAATTTGCCATTTATTATGTTGTAAACCGCTTTGAGTCCCCCCAGGGGTGAGAAAAGCGGTATAGAAATGTAGTTAATAAATAAATAATAAATAAAATACTGGAAGGGTTTGGTAGGCATTGACCTTGAGATTTGGAGTTGTAGTTTACCTACATGCAGAGAGCACTATATCCTCAAACAATAATGTGTCTGGACCAAACTTGGTATGAATACTCAATATGCCCAAATGTGAACACTGGTGGAGTTTGTGGAAAATGGACCTTGGCATTTGGGAGTTGTAGTTGCTAGAATTAATAGTTCACCTACAATCAAAGAGCATTCTGAACTCTATCAAAGATAGAATTGGGCCAAACTTGGAAGACTATGGAGCCCTATCCTTGAAGGACCTTGGTCTCCCTATGGATGTCCTGGTCCTCAAACACTCTCTGCTTCGAGTTGTTGTAGGTTTTTTCGGGCTATATGGCCATGTTCTAGAGGCATTCTCTCCTGATGTTTCTCCTGCATCTATGGCAAGCATCCTCAGAGGTAGTGAGGTCTGTTGGAACTAGGAAAAAGGGTTTATATATCTGTGGAATGACAAAGGTGGGACAAAGGACGTCTGCTGGAGCTAGGTGTGAATGTTTCAACTGACCACCTTGATTAGTATCTGATGGCCTGGCTGTTGTTTGGTGTGGCTTGTTTTCCTAATGAAGCCTTCGACAATACACTCTCTGCTTCCTTTGGAAAAATGCTGCACTCGCAGAGCTCAGGTGGTGTTGTATATCAGTGTCAATGTTGACTTTTGCGGAGAGGTGGCTGTCAAAGCTTAAGTCCACATGGCCAGTAGTTGGGAACTGTGAGGTCCTGGATCAAAACATCAATGAGATTCTGCAATTCCGATGTAAAACAGATCCCATATTTGATGACACACTCAGGCAGGTCATATCCAATGGAGCCCTTGACAGTCGTCTTATCTTAATACCTGAAATAGTTATGGATGTCCAAACCACCTGGAGGGCCCAAGTTTGCCCATGCCTGTTCTTAGAAACTATTATCAGGAGGCCTAATTTGAAACGAATCCTACCAGCAATATGGCCATGTTCTAGAAGCATTCTCTCCTGACGTTTCGCCTGCATCTATGGCAAGCATCCTCAGAGGTTGTGACATCACAACCTCACAACCTCCGAGGATGCTTGCCATAGATGCAGGCGAAACGTTAGGAGAGAATGCTTCTAGAACATGGCCATACAGCCTGAAAAAATCCTACAACCCAGTGATTCCAGCCATGAAAGCCTTTGACAATACATCGTACCAGCAATGTATGAAGCATTGGTCTGCTCTTCTCTCCCTATTCTTCCCTGCCCCATCTTGATAACCCAAACGCCGACAGAAAATCCACCAAGAAAACCAAAATGAACAAAACATTCCTTTTTATTGCATAATTACTGATTTTTTGGTTTTTCTCTTTTTTTAAAAAAAAAATTCTTGTTAAATATTTACATGGCAGCAGCAGCACAGAGAACGCCAGTCGTGCAAGTTCAGGGAGAGCCACGTCTCATCTCGTCTCCCCATCGTCGGCTTGTTTTTTTTTCCCCCGCAAAGGCGGAAAAAAAATATACATCCCACCAAGCGAAAGATCCCCCCCCGTCCTCCCACCCCGCCACCAAAAGCCACCTTGCTGCTTCATGCATTTGCATCACCTGGTACGTTAAAAAGGAGTCATAGGCACAAGTTTCCACGAACCCCACTGTTTTGCTTGCACCATAATAATAAGTAGGACTAAGTATGTAAAGTATGGAAGAGAAGCCAGGCCGCAAGAGGAGGGACAGGGAACAGGCCCATTGTGCTCCCCTTGCTCTTCCGCTGGTTCCCGAGGGGCTACGTTTCTCTAATCAGCCCTTAAAGCGAATGTGAAGCCCCTTCCCCTGAAATATCGGAGGGAAGGGGCTGTGGAAAGCACCCGCTGGATATTGCATCGTTAACGTGGGAGGTATTGTGGTCAGTTCTGTAGGTTACTCAATGGTTTTTTTGTTTTTTGCACGGGCGAAACACAAGGCTCGCATGTCGAGACCCCTGTTTCCCTCCCCGACGGGACCGAGACAGACTCACACATAGGCAGACTCACTGGACTGTGTCCGTCCGAGCGTAGGCACTTGGGCCAGCGAGGAGAGGTCCTTCTTGCGCACCTCGCAGATGGATTTCCGCCTGGCCTGCACCCCCCGGATGGCCGTCTTGATCTTGCGCCAGCCGAGGTGGTTGAGCTCGGCCAGGTTGAGCAGCACGCAGATCCCGCTCACGGCGAACATGAAGACCAAGAAGACGGTCTTCTCGGTGGGGCGGGAGACGTAGCACTCCACCTCCTTCACGCACGGGTAGCGGTCACATTCGAAGATGGCCGGCACGTTGAACCCGTACAGGAAGTACTGTCCGGCGAGGAAGCCAATCTCCAAGGCATTGCGGAAAACCACCTGAAGCAGGAAAAGAAAGAGTCTGAGAAGCTGGTGGCAAACAGCTCCCGAAATAATAATAATAATCATCATCATCATCATCTATATAAATAAAAATGCAATGTTAGTTTGTGGGATTAACAGAACTCAAAAACCACTGGACCAATTGACACCAAATTTGGACACAAGACACCTAACAACCCAATGCTATTAAGATCTTCCGGGGGGGCCCTCCTCTCGGTCCCACCACCCTCACAGTCACGGTTGGTGGGGACGAGAGACAGGGCCTTCTCGGTGGTGGCTCCCCGGCTTTGGAACTCCCTCCCACTAGAGGTTAGATCTGCCCCCTCCCTCCTGACGTTCAGGAAATCACTAAAAACGGGCTCTGGAATGTGGCATTCGAGGACTGAACCTAGAACCTTCCCTATGATGAATTATGATGAACTGTGACCACGAACATGACTATGACTGACTGGATTGACGATTTGGCGTAGGAAACTGTAATGATGTAATGATAATGATGATGTTTTTATTGCACTGTGTTGTACTATTTTAATACCTGTGGTTCTTTATATGATTGTACTTTATATATGCTGTAAACCGACCTGAGTCCCTCGTCGAGGTTGAGAAGGCCGGTATAGAAAACCTCTAAATAAATAAATAAATAAAGACACCTAACAACCCAATGTATGTCCTTCACTCAAAAAAATTGATTTTGTCATTTGGGAGTTGTAGTTGCTGGGATTTATAGTTCACCTACAATCAAAGAGCATTCTGAACCCCACCAACGATGGAATTGAACCAAACTTGGCACACAGAACTCCCATGACCAACAGAAAATACTGGAAGGGTTTGGTGGGCAGTGTCCTTTGGTTTTGGAGTTGTAGTTCACCTCCATCCAGAGAGCATTGTGGACTCAAACAATGATAGATATGGACCAAATATGGCACTAATACTCAATATGCCCAAATCCAAACACTGGTGGAGTTTGGGGAAAATAGAATCTTGACATTTGGGAGTTGTAGTTGCTGGGATTTATAGTTCACCTACAATCACAGAGCATTCTGAACCCCACCAACGATAGAATTGGGCCAAACCTCCCACACAGAACCCACATGACCTCCATGTGGGCCACAGCAACGCGTGGCAGGGGACGGCTAGAAATATAATAACTTTATTTTTATACCTTGCCACCATCTCCCCAAGGGGACTTCGGCTGGCTTACGTGGGGCCAAGCCTGAACAACAAGTTACAATACAAAAAAAAAAATAAACAACATAACATTAAAGTATAAAACATCAAAGCATATATACACAGAACATAGAAACCAAACATAATGACAATAGCACCACGTAACAACATTTGAAAAATTTTCTGTTCCTGGTTTGAAGGGGTTATTTCCTCTTTAAGGGTGCAGTACTTGCTTTGTAGGGTTCCCTAGTGGCGCAGCAGGCTAAACCGCTGAGCTGCAGAAATTGCTGACTGAAGGGTCGGCGGTTTGAATCCAGAGAGTGTGGTGAGCTCCCGCTGTTAGCCCCAGCTTCTGCCAACCTAACAGTTTGAAAACATGCAAATATGAATAGATCAATAGGTACCGCTTCTGCGGGAAGATACTAGGACATGCTGGCCACATGTCCTAGTAGGTGTCTATGGACAACGCCGGCTCTTCAGCTTAGAAACAGAGATGAGCATCGCCTCCTAGAGTCAGACATGACTAGACTTAATATCAGGGGAAACCTTGATTTGAAAGCAGTTGTTCTACTCCAGAAACTTTGTTTTGGTGGCTGCCACAAACTAGGCTGAATTGGTTGAGATGTGTTGAGGAATCTGAGCAGTTAGGCTCAAACATAACCCTCGGTTATAGTACTTCCACCAAAATATACCAAGATTAAACTCCATAACCAGCAGAAACTTACATGTGGTGAGAAGGGATAGCCTTCTAATCTTTAGCGTGGCTCAGGATTGCAGAGTCAGAACTTTGGGTTCAAAAATATTTATCTATATAAATAAAAATGTAATGTTCATTTGTGGGATTAACATAACTCAGAAACCACTGGAGGAATTGACACCAAATTTGGACACACTACACCTATCAAGCCAACAAGTGACCATCACTCATAAAAACACTGGAAAACACAGCAGAATGGGCTTAAAATGCCAAAAAAAAAGGGAAAAGGAGCAACAGCGCATGTGCAAAATGACTCTCCCGGCACACACACACACACACACACAAAATATCATATCCGCACTCTCTTCCAGACTACAGTTCCCAGGATTCCCTAAACCAGGGTTTTAGGAGAGGAGGATGATCCAAATGCACTTCTTCCAAGTTCCAAGCTTTCTTCTTGGACTTGAAAGCACCCCAATCCATACATATTTCCAATTTCCTATTCCTGGACTGCAACTCCCAGCAATTCTCAAGATAGATAAGGTAGAACGATTGATCAGGAAGACTGCTGGAAGTTGTAGTCCAAGAATAGGTAGAGAAGGAAGAATGGGGAGAAAGAGGAAGGGAAAGAAAAGGAAGGGAAGAGGGAGAGAAGGAAGGAAGGAAGGAAGGAAGGAAGGAAGGAAGGAAGGAAGGAGAGAAGGGGGGGAAAGGGAAGGAAATGAGGAAAGAAAGAGGGAGGGATGGAAGGGAAGAGGGAGGGAAGGAAGGAAGGAAGGAGAGAAGGGAAGAAAAAAGGGAAGGAAGGAAGGAGAGAGAAAAAGGAGGAGAGAAAAAGGGAGGGAAGGTTGGCCACAGTAACATGTGGCGGTTAAAGTAAAAGGAAATACATTCTTTTTCTTCTTTTTTCCCCCTGTACACAATTATATTCTTGATAGAAAAGTTTTGGAGTGAACAAGGTTACTAAATCTCATCTTCTAAAGAAGGTAAAGGATAAAAAAAAAGTCAATGCAGCTACATTTTGCCTACAATGACGCAAAATGCATCCTCACAGGAAGAAAGAAAAGCAGAAGAAGAATGGTGGATACCGCACGGCCTTCCCAGTTCAAACTTAAAAGGAAGTTCCCTCACGGAATTCTAGTACTAGATCATCAAAGGGAGAGGGGACAGTGGCTAGCAGTAAAGACAAAGACGAAGCCCTTTTGGAAAATATGCATAGGAATATGGGGAAACAAATCCCTGATCTCTAGTGTAGCTACTCACTGAGGACTAGAAACTTGATGACACAGTCCAGAGATGAAACCCAACAAGACGCGATGAAATATTCTCAATGTTCTGCAGGATGTTTTGCAGTTTAATAAACTTTTCCTGTGTTTTAATAATAATACCAATTTGGAAATGACATTTATAACCCAGGAACAAAAATCATGTTACATAGCGTAGTAAGAATCTATACCAATAGTGTCCAACCTTTGTCCTCCAGCTGTTTGGGACTCCAACTCCCAGAAGCCCTGGCTAAGCTGTCCAGCTGAAGTCCAAAACACCTGGAGAACCAAAGGTTGGAAAACACCAGACTATATTATACAATAAATGGGGAGCTTTGACCCTCCAGATGGTTTTGATCCACAATATCACTCAGTCCTAGTAAGTATAGGACAGTAGTATGAAAATATCTACAGATTAGTAAAGATAAAGGTTTCCCCTGACATTAAGTCTAGTCGTGACCAATTCTGGGGCAGTGGTGCTCATCTCAATTTCTAAGCCAAAGAGCTGGCGTTGTCTGTAGACACCTCCTAGGTCACATGGCCAATATGACTGCATGTAGCGCCATTACCTTCCTGCCAGAGCAGTACCTATTGATCTACTTACATTTGCATGTTTTCAAACTGCTAGGTTGGCAGAAGCTGGGGCTAACAGCAGGAGCTCACCCTGCTCCCCGGATTTGAACCACCAACATTTTGATCAGCAAGTCCAGCAGCTCAGCAGTTTAACCTGCTGCACCAACAGGAACTCTTATCTATCTATCTATCTAGCTAGCTGGCTAGCTAACTATTTATCTGCACAAGCTTTGGATAGCATAGGTAAAGGTAAAGGTTTTTCCCTTGACATAAGTATAGGACGGCATAGTCTGTAAACACCTCCAAGGTCATGTGACCGGTATGACTGTATGAAGCTCTGTTACCTTCCCGCTGGAGCAGTACTCACATCTTGCATGTTTTTGAACTGTTTGGTTGGCAGAAGCTGGGGCTAACAGCAGGAGCTCACCCGCTCCTCGGATTTGAACCAACAATCTTTTGATCAGCAAGTTCATCAGCTCAGCAGTTTAACCTGCTGCACCACCGGGAACTCCTATCTATCTATCTATCTATCTAGCTAGCTATCTAGCTAGCTAGCTAACTAACTATTTATCTGCACATACTTTGGATAGCATAGGTAAAGGTAAAGGTTTTTCCCTTGACATAAGTATAGGATGGCATTGTCTGTAGACACCTCCAAGGTCATGTGGCTGGTATGACTGCATGAAGTGCCGTTACCTTCCCGCCGGAGCAATACTCACATCTTGCATATTTTCAAACTGCTTAGTTGACAGAAGCTGGGGCTAACAGCGGGAGCTCACTGCACTCCCCAGATTTCAACTGGCAACCTTTAGGTCAGCAAGTTCAGCAGCTCAGCAGTTTAACCCACTGCACCACCTGGAACTCCATCTAGAGACTAAGATGCTGATATTTAGATGTCACTGGAATAGTCAGAGTCTATAGCAGGGGTCCTCAAACTTGTTAAACAGAGGGCCAGTTCACAGTCGCTCATATTGTTGCAGGGCCAGACTTTAGTTTGAAAAAATCATAAACGAATTCCTATGCACACTACACATATCTTATTTGCATATTTTAAAAATGAAAAACACTTTTCACCAACATAAACTTACCAATATTTCAATGGGGAGTGTGGGTCTGCTTTTGGCTGATAAGATAGTCAAACCAATTGGGATTGTTGTTGTTGTGTGCCTGGAAGGCATTTCAGAGTTAGAGCGAAACTAAATCTAAAGTTTAGGGCAAGTCAATTATCTTAGAGGGCCGCTTGGGGACTCTTGGTCTACAATATACATTAAGTGGAGAACTATGACATCCCCGAT